CCAGCCCCGGTCTCCCCAGGGCCACCCCCCCCGGCCCCGCTGTACCGGCTGGGTGACAGCCCCAGCCCCGGTGTCCCCAGGGCCAAGATCCCTGACGTTGCTTTACAGCCCCGGCAGCCCCTGACCCTGCAGCGTGGATGGGCCGATCTCCACAGCAGCCCCGCTCCCACGGTCCCCGGGAGACGCGCCGCTCTGGCACACGCCGGCTCCTTGTCCCTCGTGTCCCATTACACGGCCGCAGTTTTGGCCGCATCCCCAAGAACGGGGCTTAGGGTCTGCCCTCGTTCCCGTAACACCCCGGCGCTGTGGGCACCGACGCCCTCCACCTCCCGCCACAGAACCTTTCTGAGAAACAGGAATTTTAATGATTTCTCACCCTGAGCACGTGTTGGGATTTTTTTTTAAATATATCTCACTTTGCTCTTGTAAAAGATCACAGTGCACGTTCCTTACACGGGTGGATAGTTTTGCAGTCATTGCAGTTTGTCGTAAGGATTTTGCCAACAGTTATTCTTGTAATTGCAGGTTTTCTGTAGGATCCACCGCACAAGGTTTTGTAAATATTTCGTGGGTAGGTCAGGCTGAGAATTATTCAGGTCTCTTGCCGCTCTGTTCAGAGTTGAATCAAAAGATAAATCCTGGTTGTGATCAAAATAGCAGTCGCCAGCATCAGTGAATAGAGGAGATGACATTTCAGAGTGGTTTTTTTCTTTTTTCACAGTTTTTATTGCTTTAGAGCAGATTGACTGGCAGGACAAATGTTGCTTTAAAATGATTTAAAGGAGTGATGTGAAAGACTTCTGGGCAGGCTTTGTCAGCGCTTCAAAGCTGGCTCAAGAGATGCTTTTGGTTGCAAATGGTTGGTTATTTGATGGCAATAGTTAGTGTATTGCTAGAGACACGGCTGGTGCATTGCAATGTGCTTTTTCAGTAGTAGAAAGGAGAAAAAAAGAGCTGCTTAAACCATCACAGGCTGCTAGCTAGAACTGGAGATTCAATCTTCCTCCAGAGTTTCCTGGTTAAACTAGTCTGGAAAGCAAATTTAGACACAACACAACTGCCAGCTTTTGGTTTTTATTATTGCAGTGAAGAAAAACTGCTAAGCCCTGCTTTTCTCTCCAGGTACATAAACTCTGTTATGGAAGTGCTTAACCTGAAGCATCTGCCAGCATCATTGAGCTGCAACATCTGTAGCTGAGTTCAGATATTGAAAAAAAAATAATGTTGGTTTAAGTGTGGAGTCATGAGTACACGTTTCACAGGCAAATGAATCCAGGTTCTCAAAGAAAAACTGTTCAATTTATTGTTTTCAACTGAAATTATTTTTTTTCCTGGTACCACTTAACCACCCCCGCTTCATTCCTGTACACGCTCAACAGGATGAGACAGGGGCGTATCTCATCGATAGAGACCCCACGTATTTTGGTCCAATACTGAACTACCTCCGACACGGGAAGCTCATCATAAACAAGGAGCTTGCAGAAGAAGGTAAGAGAAAAATGCAGGGGAAGCACTGCAAATGCTGTTTGATGGCAGCATCCGAGCGCCATCATCAGAAACCTGCCTGAGCGCACAGGGTTCCTGAGACGGCGATGTGTAAGGGTGTGAGCAAGCCGCATTTCCCAGTAGTGCTGTTAGTACTGTTGGTTCCTCAGAAGGGTGCTCGTTAACAGGAATTGAATCACTAGATTCTGTAAGCTTCCTGAAAGCAGAGGCCTGCAGCTTACAACACGAGCCATCGCTCTTCTGCTTAGGTCAAAGGCTTCTGTTAGCAGAGCAAAAGATCTGTTAGCACATCTCCTCTCCCTCCACGGATGGGAGTTCTCTGCAGGCAGGCAGCTTTGGTGACTTTCCCCTAATGGGGCTGTGTGAACAAACAGAGATTGTACCGTGAGGTTTCTGATAATCCCAGGGAATGGGGAGTAATCTTTCTTAAAGATCCTCTAAGGGACAAAAGGAGGTGACAGCTAGTTGGTCATTTTCTTCCAGCCTGCGAGCACGAGATCAGTGGCACAGTCTATTCAGCGTTCGGGGATTTCCTCACATCTGGGCTAGATTTGGAGTCAGGAGCAGCTGCTGCATCCTTGTAGCAGAATCATCTTCACTCTACCCTGGACACAGTAACAGAATTTCTCTCTACTTTTGGTTCCTTTTTTAGGGGTACTGGAAGAAGCCGAGTTTTACAATATTGCATCTCTTGTGCGGCTGGTGAAGGAGCGGATACGGGATAACGAGAACAGAACCTCTCAAGTAAGGCACAGGAACTTTTGCGTTATGAAGTCAGTCATTTTCCGTAGCGTAGTAGAAGGACGTGTGGCTGTAGATGCTCCTAGTAGCAGATTTTTTGTTTAGTCATCTTTAAGAGGCGGAATCGGTGCTTTTAGGTAGATCCGAGGCACAGCTAGGAAAGAGTATCCATTATGGTTTTATAAGCACAGACCACTGAGTCATCGTGTTAGCACTGCAGGGCAAGACAACAAACAGTTAAATGAGAGGGGCCAGGAGCAAAGATGGGTGGTTATACAGCAAAACATACTGCTTTGGTGTGTAAGGAAGAGTTCAAACTCCTCCTTCTCTAAACCGTTTTCTTCCCTTCATATCTGTCTCTCTGTGGCAATTTTTTCCATTGCTGCTCAGCTGATATTAACACACCCACTAGATTCAATTGCAGAAGAGAAACACTTTCAAAAAGCACTAAATGGCTTTGAAAGCCAAGGAAGTTTTGCTTTCACTGGCCCTTAGACACACAGAAGGCTTTTAAGAGAAGCGTGCCAACCATATGTACCTGCTTTAGGATTGGTTGGATGGTCGGAACGTCAGAAAGCCTGTGGGGCTCAGACTTCCTCAAATAACAGATGAGAAATAATAAAAGATGACAGAGCAGGAGAGGCTTATTAATTTCCTACCTTGATACTAGCGTAACAATTACTAAACTCACACTTATTTTTATTCTCTGTGCTTTAGGGACCTGTGAAGCATGTGTACAGAGTCCTGCAGTGCCAAGAGGAGGAGCTCACACAGATGGTGTCCACTATGTCCGATGGCTGGAAATTTGAACAGGTACCATTACCGAAGAACGGCAGAATCCCTTTGAAAGCTGCCTATGGAATAAGCAG